TTATTAATTTTATTTAACATTCTTCAAACTTGAAAGACTCAATTAATGTACCTAAATGTATGTATCGAAATGTATTATATTGAACTAATGTATTTAAATGTTAGTACCGAAATGTATATACTGAACTATATGCACTAAAATGTATTATATTAAATCAATGTACCTAAATATGTGTACCGAAATGTATGCACCAAAATGTATGTACCGAAATGTGTTATATTGAATTTATGCACCTAAATATTTGTATCGAAATATATGTATCGAAATGTGCGTACCTAAATGTATGCACTGAAATGTATTATAATGAATTTAATGTACCTAAATGAAGAAAACACAGTACATCGAGATATATTGTATAACCAAAATTAGTTTATCTAAATGTTTACAACAAAATATACTACGATAAATGAAATGAAATTAATATATTAAAATTCGGAAGAAAAAGAGAGATAATTAAAAAAATGCAAATGTAATTAATAAATGAGGTTATTAATGTATGACGAGACTAAAATTATATTTTGATCTTGAGAGATTATATTCACACACCCCAAATTACTTCTCCCATACTCTTTTAATTTTTTAATATTTTCTACACACTACTAACACTTGTTAGAAAAATATTAAAAAATTAAAAAGGTGTGGGAGAAGTCATTTGGGGTGTGTGAATATAATTTCCCCTTACTCATGGTTTTAATCTAAAAGTCATCTTTGCCAAAGATTAGAATGAAATTTTCTATTAACAACAAAAATTCATATTGAAATGTGAAAGTAAGATAACAGCTAGCCATTCAAACGGGATTTGAAAAGTCGGATCCTGAAACTATGTTAATCCATCTAGCTGAATGTATGGCTAAGTAGTTTAATCTACCAATCAGCTCGAATCTATGGGTGATGCCATAATACATGCCGCATTAAGCACCTTTTATGTAATTGAGAACATTGGTTCTGTCCTATTTGTATGTGTTTATCTCTTTCATTATGTCAATTTCAAGGGGATAGTCTAGTGAAAAGTGAAGAAAAAAAAAAAGGTTTGGAATCTCTAACTCAAGTTTGAACTCCCATAGATGTATTTTTTTAGGCTACCGGCTTTGCTTTTACATGCATATCATATGACATGAGGCACGTTGTCGCTTCATATGATACCGAAGTTGTACGGTGGAATACTTTCTATATTCAAAACAATCTCCCTCAACACATTATAGTTGAAAAAATTGTCGTATCATAATTATTCATCAATATGAGATAGACACATGACATCTATTATTACTATGTTATATTAGTGTATCACTGTGAAAAAGGGAGATAACAATTGATTGTATACATGTGTCATGTGCCACCCAAGAATCGCTCCATGTACCTTGGTGCTTAGCGTGGTGTGAGTTGTTTGAATAGTAATCAAACCAATCAAATTCTAATACATACACTTTTATATAGGTTGAATCAAATTATAATACGTTTGTGTGTTGACTTCGCACATCCATCAATGAACCATAAGATTCCTAGTGTTGACCTTTTTATACGTAGACAAAATAATACAAAGAATATTCATCCTTGATATTTTTCTTAAGTTAATAGTTTTCACATTTCTTGATTCAAACCACCTCTCATGATTTCTTGATTATAAATGTACCATTCTCCGCTGCAAGTCTGCAAAGTGTCATCAAGTTTTGTGGATTAATTATTAGACCAGTTTAGATGGAGGGAAGGAGGGAGATGGAGAGCCGTTTGCGGATAGAGTTGATGGTTTTTCTTGTGTTGGTTTTGGGGCTTAGCAGTAGATCCTATGGTGCAGTTTCTCACAGTACCATGAACAAGATTTATAGAATAAACAAAGAGGGTCCATATTTGGGCATTGTAGTACCAAATTTCTTTGAGATGAACCCTCTTCTTCAATCTACAAGCTTTGTGGCTGATCAGAAGCTACCGTATTTGGATTTTGATGGTAAGCATAAAATTACACGCACGCACACACACACACACTCACACACACACACACACACACACATATATATATCCATCAAGTTTATATTAGTACATGGCTGTTCTTTGAGTGCTCTGTACATATATTTCCTAAAAGAAACTGATTTCTCACACTATTTTCTTATTCTGCACCTTTGTCGAAATTTTGTCCTTTAATTAATTAATTTATTTATTCAATCCAAGGGACCAAAATAAACAAGAGTGTATATAGAGAAAAATCAGTATGCGGAAATCAGTATCATTTGCTAAAATGTTTATTGTTATAGCTCATGGTATATATAAGTTTTGTTGTTGTTACTTTTCTTGTCTTTGCACGTTCTGCTCTGAAATTTATAAATACGTAAAATATTGTAATTGAAAGAAAATTAACTTTGGACCGAATTCTACATACTCAATTTGACAGGAAGAAGGTTTCGAATCGGACGATTGGAAGACAAAAAGGTTATAATTGTTATGACTGGATTGAGCATGGTATGTTTAATTATGCAGATGACCATCTGTTTTACTTTAATTAAATTTTTGGTCAGTGCATATCATAGATATTGTATTTAATAAATGATGTAGAAACTAGGTCCGGCTTCAATACTACGAGTGTATTATATCCGTTAGATTCGACTTTCGAAATTATTAAATCTTTTAGTGTAAATCTTAACCGTTTACTTCCTGTATCATTCAATATTATTGAAGTATTTTCCGTGGAAACCTGCTGCAAAAAAATTGATGTAGAAACCTGTGAAAAGCTCAATGCAGGCATCTCAACTCAATTACTACAAACCCTATTCAAGGTGAAAGGTGTTGTACACTATGGAATTGCAGGAAATGCAGATCCCCAACTCCAAATTGGAGATGTCACCATCCCTCAATTTTGGGCTCATACCGGCCTTTGGAATTGGCAGGTATAAAACACTAATTTTCTTTAGAAAATTGGCTTTTGTTTGGTAATCTTTTTTTTAATCCCAGTTAATGGAATATCCAATTAATGGAAAAATTGGTGGCTAGGTCTTTAGTAAATATGACCAACTTTAATATCTTCTTTTGTCATTTGAATGCATGCAGAGGTTTGGAGATGGGCCTAATGATGAATTGTCCTTAGAATCATTTGGAGACTACACAAGAGAAGTTGGTTACATAAAATTTTCAGATTTTAGTAACAAAACCAAAGTTGGAACTTCTGTTCCCAATCTCCTGAACAATGCATGGTATCAGCCAGAAGAGACCTTCCCAGTCCATGGCACTCCGGAAGTTAGGCAACATGCCTTTTGGGTTCCAGTCAACCACAAATATTTTTCACTTACCAAGAAACTAGAGGTAATTGGCATCATCTCACAATTTACTTTTCTGTTTGTTATACTTTTGTTATATTGAATCCTAAACTAATTACAGAAAATATGAAATTAAGGTTTTTGGCCCAAACTATGATATTGTTCCACGCAGTTTTAGCAAATTCCACTTTAGTTTCTCTCTAGTTTCAGTTGTCTCAATTTAATCGTTGTAGCTTAGTAATCTTTGCAATTTAAAAACAATAGCATGGTTGTGCAAATTTTTTCTGCAAAATTAGCATTTTATTAAAGGCATGTGTGCTGTGTTTCTACACCCCAAACAAGTCCAGTTTACGTCACTCGCGAGCTAATTAGGTCCGAAGAAAATAGACAGAATTAAGCTACTGTTGTTGAATGACATCAGTCACTAAAATACAGAGGTTAAATCACAAAAATTAAAACTATAGCTATCAGGTTGGAGTTTAACTAAAACTACAAGAACTAAAATCATGATTTGGGCTTTTTCGTTTTGGGTTTTAGTAACTTGCCAGTTATATTTTCAACACAGGGTTTGAAGTTGGGGAGCTGTGTCAATACAACTTGTCTTCCAAGAACACCCAAAGTGGTGGCAGTCCAAAGGGGGATTAGTGCAAATGTGTTTGTTGACAATAGTGCATACAGAGAATTCTTGAAATCCAAATTCAATGCCACCCCAATAGACATGGAAAGTGCTGCAGTGGCTCTTGTATGTCACCAGCAGAACACACCGTTTATCGTAATTAGAGCTCTCTCTGATTTGGCTGGCGGAGGATCCTCTCTCTCCAATGAAGCCAACACCTTTGCGTCATTGGCAGCTCAAAATGCAGTTGATGTTGTTCTCAGATTCGTTGCCTTGTTGTCTTAATAGTTTCACCATAAAACGACACACTTCCATTGATCGGTGGACTGTAATTTGGAATAATTGAGGTTTATATATATACATGTGTGTGTGAATTTCTTATGCGGTGTGAAAACGAAGCTCAGTTTTGGGTTTTTTTTTGTCTGTTATTTGAGCCTAGACAACTTTGGATTTCATGGTAACATAGTGCTCGTGAACCAATGAATGTCTGTCTTTAATTTACGTAAGTTTATAAGAATGCTTAAAGGAATACAGTTGGCTCCTTATGGAACAAGTCATTATTTCTTACAAACAAATCATCGTTTAGGAAGTCATTTTCTTACAAACAAATGAATATTCAATAGGTGTACGGACAATTTTCTTTATATTTTAAGTGATGTATGTTACGCATTAGAATGCAATATAAAGATAAAGATAAATAACTCCTTAGAAGATATATGTAAAAAGTTAAACCGTGTTCGCTCTTAATTAAACTGCAGTCTGCAGAAGGTTTCGCCGCACTTTGAATCCCACATGTCACAAATTGTTTATTCCACTGACAAATGGAAGAAGAACAAGAAGATTAATAAAGTACTTTAGATATATGGCCATCCAGTTTACCCTTTCACAAGAAATGGAAATAGTGCTATAAACAGTGCAAGCCGGCTCGGGCGGCATATTTCTATTTATACATGGGGCCCTCCGTGACTATCCCAAAATTTCATCCAAAAACCGGCTAATTTGCTACGGCATTTCACCACCGTTGAAAACGCCATGTTAAATGACCAATCTCCGCACGTAGCTGTCTCAGCCGTCCAAAGCCGCTTCCCGCCAGTAAAATAAAAACAGTTCTTTTCCGTCAAAAAAGCTAAAGCCCAAACCAAAAGCCTCCCCAAAACCTCCTCCTAATCTAAAACACTAACACTACCATGAGTGTGAATAACTTATGACCACCGCCACCATGACCTCCGCCTCATCCTCCCAAATCCTCGGCCACACTGCCACCTTCATCTCCAAAACCTTATCCCAACCCGAGCTCCGCCGCCACCTCTTCTCCACTCTCCGCCGTAAACTCTCTCCCTCCACCTCCCAAGCCGCCCTCAAACCCTTAAACCTGGCCGCGGAAACCCTGGAAAACGCAATCTCCACCACCAGCCCCGCCATTTGTGCCTCCTCCCTCACCCTTTCCGAAAAGCTCCTCCGGTCAACCCCCAAAAACCTCTTCTCTTCCCTCCTCCTCTCCCTCATCTACGGTCTCTCCAGACGCCCCATTGACGCTGCTCTCAGCCTCCTAGACATCTTCCACACCGACCCTTCATTCGCCCGAACGGAACTCGCCCCCATACTCTTTGAAGAGCTCTTTCTAGTCCACCTCCTCCCTGTCGTCCATTGGTACAACGAACAAAGATCACAAATATTACCAACATTGTCCCCGAACATTAGCTATGAAAATGACGACTGTTCTATATCCGACATGTCCGTCGTGTTTTCGTGCTCGAAATCGTTGTCTAAGATGAGTGGGGGGCAGACTTCGGAGCTAAAGGAGTTGGAATCTAATTACGAGAAAGTTCTTGATGAAAATTGCAGGGTTTTTAGTAATTATTTCAAACAAGTTATTGAAAATAAAGATGCGAGTAGACGGATTGATCTGCCCGCAGTGATTTTGAAGAGAGTTGTTGGACTTGACGAAGTCAAGAATGGAGATGATGATGACGAACGAGGGATCAAAATGGAGGAACCCAGATTCGAAAACGGACGGTATAATGTAATGAATTATTTTCTTCCTTTCCAACTTTAATTGTACGTTATTAGTATTTCATTTATTCGAGTGATATTCAATCTGAAATAAATGACATAAGAGGGGATTTGAAGTAAACGTAAAAAAAAAGTAACACACTGTTTTAACTAATTTAACTACCCTCGAATTTTCTAATTTTTATTTGTTATTATTATTGATATTTTATGTTGACTAATTTTCAAACATGATTTCTTCTAGGTCTTGCCGTTTGCTAATTAAAATGTTAAAACAAGTATGTTTTTGTCTTGGCAGATTATTTTGACTTTGTCAAACCAACGAAATGAGAGGCTAATAATAGTCTGGGGTCTGCCAGCTGTTGGCACATGGTTGGATAGAGTTGAGAATTGGCAAACTTACATGATACTAATACAAAACGAAAAAAATTACAAAAGATTTGACTTATTGCAAAAACGTCATTATCCAAACCCTAATGATTATCATTAGGGATCTAATTTGTTGTGAGATTCCATTCCCCAAACCCCAACGGGTTTTTTATCATGCATTGAGTTAATTCAAGTTATGTCGGTTGAGCAGAACGTAGCTATACTATATGTGATCTTCTGATGAACTTAAGTTTAAATTCCTCTTCCGCAGTTTGAATTAGTTTAAAGTATAATATATATATATATATATATATAAAGTTTTAGAACATAGCTGCTGTATATAAAAAATGCTTAGTTAAATTGTATGATACCAAAAAAAAAAAAAAAAAAATAGCAAATAATTAAGGCCACTAAGTAAACTTCTAAGTGATCTAGTGGAATTCCTCTTCACTTGTAAGTGAAAGATCTTAAATTTGATTCTTGCCAAAGGCGAATTTGAACTGCATTATTGCTAGCTCATTGTGAGACTAAGGTCACCCCCTCTCCAATAATATCGTTTGTTTAAAAAAAAAAAAAATTGTATTATACCAAACTTACATGCATTAGATAATTTAGATTTCATCGAAATTTTGAAATTAAGCAAGTGTAACCAAAAGAAACGATATACAATTGCAAATGACTATCATCACCTAAAGCCTTCATTATAGTAATTCCTACCTAGCTAGTATCTTAAAGAAATATATATATACATCACAAAACCCTAATATTAATTGGATTCTTTAGAACATTTTACAAGAATGTTAGGTATTGCATGAATATTATTAGTCACATAACAACAAACAAACCAATTGGGATAATCATAATTAGGACTAAACATGTCTTTGGACGTACTAAACAGTGCGCAGATTCTTCTGAAACATGACATTTGGAGTCAACTTCTAACTTCTCTGTTTGGTTTGAAACCTCCGCAGCCAATATGGGCTGAAGCAGAAAGACCAGTTGAAGTACTCAGCAGCAGAAGAAAACCAAAGTCTCCACCTTTTTATCCTCAAAGAGTTTCAATCAGCAATATCCTCAAAACCCAGGAACAGGAACCTTCCTGGAACTTGAAATCTTCGCCCAATGTGAATTCTTCAGATTCTGAGTCAGAGTCTTTCCTGGAGGATATTTCGGTAAACTCTTCTTCTTCCTTGGATTACGGAGCAGAAATTGAGGAGGTAACAATTTTTCCGATGTTTACAACAACACAGAACATAAACTCTGGTCTGATATTACTATGTTTGTTTTTGTGTTTAATTTTTATGTTTTTTGTTTTGTATGTGTGGGCTGTTTGTTGAGTTTTTATAGGAAAACAACAGAGAAATGGAATTGTTTGAGGCTACACAGAGCCAAATAAAGAAGCTAAAGCAACCCATTTCTGCAGAATCGAGCCGGTATGTACCCATCAAACCTGTTTGGATTTCGAGCATATCTATTTGGTACTTGAAAGTATTGAAAAATCATCAGACATTAGCATCACATTGTCGATTTCTTCGTGTAAAATTTGGGATTTCTTGTTGTTTGTTAGTTCTTCAGGCCAGCTGATCATGGCAGATTGTGATAACAATTCTGTTGGGGGAAAAGTACATACACCTCCCAAGGATTTTGTGTGTCCCATTACTAGCACTTTGTTTGATGATCCTGTGACACTTGAGACGGGACAGACATATGAGCGAAAAGCGATCCAGGAGTGGATCGAAAGAGGGAACTCTACGTGCCCAATTACGCGCCAGAACTTGCAGAGCACTCAACTGCCTAAGACCAACTATGTGCTCAAAAGGCTTATTGCAAGCTGGCAAGAACAGAATCCTAGTGCAGTGTTGAGCCAATCGGAGAGTACAAGCCCATTGATTGAGCCTGTTGTGAAGGCCATAATGCCTTCAACTTCTCCTGACAGTGTTATAACCCAAGGCGGGTTTGATGGTGCAGTTGGCGAGTTAAGACTCGCAATTACCAACCTTTGTATGTCAGAAATTCTCAAGGAGTCTGAAATGGCTGTTCTTCAAATTGAGCGGTTCTGGCAGGAGGCAAATGTGGAATGGGATATTCAGAATTTGCTCACGAAACCTCCAGTGATCAACGGTTTTGTGGAGGTTCTTTTCAATTCTGTTGATCTCAGGGTTCTGTTAGCTGCAGTTTTTCTCCTGTCTGAGCTGGGGTCAAGAGACAATGCTGTGATCCAGACGCTAACGCGCGTTGATTCTGATGTTGAATGTATTGTGGCGCTTTTTAAAAAGGGGTTGATGGAGGCTGTGGTGTTGATATATCTGTTGAGGCATTCGATCCTGAACCTAATTGAGATGGGCATGGTGGAGTCTCTCTTACTGGTTATCAAAAGGAAAGACGATGATTTGCTTAGCATGTGTCTAAAGCCGAGAACAGCTGCAGTGGTTTTACTCGGGCTGATTCTTGGTGGCAGTGAAGAGGGTATTGCCTCTTCGATTGTTAACACAGTGGTTTCTGAAAAAGTGCTTGAAACAATTATTAGAAGTTTGGAATCTGAATCGACCGAAGAGAGGATTGCAGCAGTTAGGATCTTGTTGAGATGTATGCAGCAGGATGGAAAGTGCAGGAACACAATAGCTGATAAAGCTGAGCTGGCTCCTGTTTTGGATAGCTTTGTTGGCGTAAGTGATGGAGAAAAGTTTGAGATAGTTCACTTTTTCTCCGAGTTAGTTAAATTAAACAGGTATATACATCTCAATTCTCAAGTTAGCTTGTGCTGTATCCAATTTTTCGATGATTGTACAACTTGAGCTAGTGTGACAAATTTAAATCTTTGTGTTAGACAGAAGGACATTTAATGAACAAATCCTGCATATCATAAAGGATGAAGGCTCTCTCAGCACAATGCACAATTTCTTATTTATCTGCAGACTGCCCCTCAAGATCAGTGTCCTATTGTGGCCGGTCTACTACTTCAACTCGATCTTCTGGTTTGAAACTCTCTATAATCGTTCATCTATTTTAGATCTTCGCGAAATATTTAATCGATTCAATCAAATTGTACGATTGTTAATTGCATGAAGTAGTCATGTTGCATTTAACTACAAACATTGGTGAATCAGTTGTACTAGATAGTCAGTTAATGATTACTGGGTTTGTCTTGTAGGCAGAGCCGAGAAAGATGAGCATATACCGCGAAGAGGCAATAGACATGCTCATCTCATGTCTCAGAAATGCGGACTTCCCTACTGCCCAAATTGCTGCTGCTGAGACAATTATGTCGCTGCAAGGGAGGTTCACCACATCCGGAAAGCCTCTCACCAGGGCTTTCCTTCTCAAGCGTGCTGGCCTTGACAAAAGTTACAAAAATCATGTGCGAATGGATCAACTTAGCAATTTTTCTGGAGATGACGAAACTCTTGTGAGATTTGCACTGCATTACTTGGCTTTAACATTTCCTTATTTTCTTTTGCTTCGTTTTGGCTACTTGATCTTCTTTCCGCAATCGATTTCCTTATCAGTTTCCTTTTCTGGTTGACAACAAAAGGAGGAAGAGAAGGCGGCTGATAATTGGGAAAGAAAAATGGCATTTGTTTTAGCAAGCCATGAGTTTGGTCTACTTTTTGAGGCTTTAGCCGAAGGCTTGAAGAGCAGATATGCGGAATTATGTTCAGCGTGCTTTGTGATAGCCACATGGCTCGTACACATGCTCAATGTTCTTCCAGACACAGGAATACGTGGAGCAGCCCGCGTCTGCTTGCTCAAACGTTACATGTCGATATTCAAGTCTGCCAAGGACACCGATGACAAAGCCCTCTCTATGCTTGCGTTGACCAGCTTCATCCAAGATCCTGGTAAGAACGGGTCACCCTTGGATTTCAGTTCATAGGCATTTTTTACTATAATAACTTTAAATCTTGGACAAATTACGTATTCTTGACGTTGTGAATTTCAGAGGGGATGCAAGAGGTAACTTCTTCCATAAAGGATATCGTAAAAGGCCTGAGAGAGCTTAAGAGATCAACTCCCTTGGCATTTCAAATGCTAAAACTATTTTCTGAGGGGCAAGACTCTAGCGCCGTAAGTTCATCGCAATCTTGTATACTGTACCTTGTTCCAGGAAGAAGAAGGGCCATGACAGAATTTTTTGTTCATGTTTGACAACAGGAACTGTGGGATCATAAAGAATTAGTTCAAGTAGATTGCAGCGAGAATGGAGAGGTTCTTTCAGTCATTTGCTTCAAGGACAAAATATTTTCGGGCCACTCGGATGGAACTATAAAGGTAACTAAATTCTTGGTCTCACACACATTCTTATATATGGTTTCATATTTTTCAGAACAATGTTTATCCCATGTGAATTTCTTTTGGTGGCAATCTACTTTCAAATTTTGAAGGTATGGACGGGTAAAGGTAGCGTTCTTCATCTAATCCAAGAAACTCGAGAACACACAAAGGCAGTTACTAGCTTGGCAATTTTGCAATCGGGGGAAGTTTTATACAGTGGCTCGCTCGATAGAACTACAAGGGTATGGTCTATTAGCAATGAAGCAATGTACTGTGTACAAGTACACGACATGAAGGATCAAATTCATAGTTTAGCCGTCACGAATAGCCTCGCTTGCTTCATTCCACAAAGTACCGGTGTCAAGGTACTTAAAGAGATGGTCATAATTGATCCATCATTTTAGTTCCTTTTGCTCTTAGGTTGCCGACGAAATTAATTTAACCAACAAGGCAAAAGTAGCATGACCTTGTAACTAACGTGTGCTACTCGGTACCAGGTTCATTCGTGGAATGGAGGAACCAAATTGTTAAATTCAAGTAAATATGTGAGGTGCTTCGCTCTAGTACATGGAAAATTATATTGTGGATGCAATGACAATGGTATTCAGGTACGATCTTTCTGTAGTTATAGTAGTTTAAATCTAGCTATAATTATGTCTCTCACCGTACTGATAACCAAACTTGTGAAACTTCCAGGAGATTGATTTGGCCACGGGAACACTCAGTACCATTCAAAATGGCACTCGGAAACTACTCACGAAATCAAACCCTATCCACGCTATTCAAGTTCACAGTGGACTTATCTATACAGCCAGTTCTTCCGCGGATGGGGCAGCTGTTAAGGTACCCTCAGAACATAATTACCACGCCCGGTTTCTTGAAGAAACTCTCAAGAAAATGACAAAATAAAAAAAAAAGAATTTCCATAAAACCCATTTGTTTCCATGTGACTGAACTGTTCGATTTATATTTCCATGTGAAGATATGGAATGCTGCAAACTCCAACCTGGTTGGATCACTTCCGACCACATTGGAAGTGCGGGCGATGGCCATAAGCTCGGAACTGATTTATTTGGGAGGTAAAGGAGGAAGCGTGGAAATATGGGATAGGAATAAGCAGAACAGAATAGACACCCTACAAACTGGTACCAATTGCAAGGTCCTTTGCTTGGCTCTTGATGCCAATGAGGACGTTTTGGTCACTGGAACTTCTGATGGCCGAATTCGGGTAAATAATCCTTTCCTCTTTATTTAGTCTTCAAACAGAAATCCTATTGCACGTATACACACGTATGCATGTCTACAAACTTGTTCACGTGCGTGCATGTACATACGTATATCATTTTTTGCGTGATCGAACCTTGAACACTTGTATACGTACACGTATGTCTACAAACTTGCAAGGTTCTACAGTGAAAACTAACAGTAAAAACCTCTCTGCTGGTTTGCAGGCATGGGGACTCAGCTGAGAACAGAAGCGGGGTAAAAATTTGGATGGAAGCTGGACGAGCAGCTGAAGATATATAAATATATATACATATAGATTATTATTTTTTTAAATTAAATTCTTTGCAATATTTCATGTTTGTTGGAGAGCATTGTTGGAAATAAAGACATCAGAAGATGTATACCGCTGAATTGTAATGCGTTTTGTTCATGTACATAAAACTGACTTCACACGAGGGAATAAAAATATTTCAGAAATACTGGGAATTGCATATTTTATTTTAAATCAAATATGAAACTTCATATGCGTTTAACGATGGGATATTGTAATTTACAAAGCTACTTCTCTATGATGGGCCTCAATTCAATATTGTCGTCATCACAATTTAGTATCAAACACACTACAAATATATATTGTCTTTACATTTGTATGAGTCAAATGTAAAAAAGAGAGTAAATAACGCTAAACCAACAGGTCATAAGAAAAATCGTCTAAACGTAATTTGATATCTGAACTCGCATTGTCACTCTACACGCTCTCATTTTTTTTCTTTTGATTTGTTTAATCGAATTGCTAAACTGAGAGAAAGAAAAACCGTAAAAAAGATGTTCCCAAAAAACAATAATTTTTGGGACGATCTTAAACCTGGTGGCAATCACAACCGCATCAACCGGCAGCAAAGAGCTAGTCGGTTTGTTCGTTTGACACTAAGTGATTAAGTTCCTCATGCACCAAAACAGAGGAACAAAAAAATACAATCATAACCGATCAAATTGTCAATGTCCTTGATTCTAATTTTTCATAAAACCCTTTATTAAATTTTCCATTTTAATTTTGCCTCCCATTTCATTCGGTGCATAAAAAATTGCAAACAATCTTCTTTCGATCAAATCAAACAATTCATTTTCTTGCCTTCTTGGTTCTTCCAATCTCGAATCCAACTCTTAAAACCTTTTTATCTTCTCTTTTATATCAAAGATTACGACTTCTAAATTTCCATACCAAAGATTATACCTTCCAATCATAGTATGGAGATTGTAATCAAAACTTAATTATGTTCTCGTTTTCAATTTTCGGTTTCGATTTAGCTTGATACCCAAGAAATGGCTTCAAATCCAGTGACCCTCCAAGGGTCACTTCATCCTTCTTGTCATTTTGAGAATGTCTTTTCATATGTTATATCAATTTTTTTCGTATTTGTACAATACTATTGGTTGCGTAAAACATAATCTAATATCATATGTACATAAAGACTCAGGAGACTAAAGACACTTGGGCTTAAAGCGCATATGACTTCATTCCTTGCCTCAAGTTTTTTAATTCATTCACACGTGTGTCTTGAATTTGTTTGATTTTTTAGTAAATTTAAAAATCAGCATTTGATACTCTTATTTTTTTGATCATCTTTTCATTACTATATTAGAAAATAGTTATACTTAGCTTTAGTACTATATTATATGATTATGGAATGATAACCCAATTAGGCTATAAATATCGAATTTATGATATTTCTAAATTAATTTGTAAGATCTACTTATTAAACCCTTTTTTTTTTGGTTGACCCTCTTATTAGAAATTCTGGTTACGCCCTATATAATACTGTCCAGTTTTCTTATCCTCCACCTTCAAACCAAGCTTTTCTTTCTATTAGCTTTGAGTTTACAACTTGTAATCCTCTGCTTTCCTCTGTTTCTTTTCGCTCTGTTTTTGCTCTATTTTCCTCTGCTAATGGCGCCTCCTAATCTTCCTGTTAATCCGATCAACGATGTTTCTCTGCCTGAAATCATAGAAGAATATTTCGACTTGTCGGATGGAAGCTTAGTGTTAGAGGTGTTCCACTGCTTGATGAAGTTCCAAACAATGTCACTTTCAGTCCCTTTAATTCAATCTGCCAGCCTTGTGACGATGTTCCACTTCCCCTGCTCAACCGTGTCGGTGCCTTGTCACACAAGGGAGGGTTCCTGGGGTTCAAAGCGGATGTGCCTTCGGATAGGTTGAAGAATTCCTTGGGAAGATCCAGTGACAGGGATTTTCTCAGCATTTTTCGGTTCAAGACATGGTGGTCTACCATGTGGGTTGGAAACTCCGGTTCGAATTTGCAGAAGGAAACACAATGGGTGCTTTTTGATGTCCCTGAGATAAAATCCTATGTGATCATCATACCGATTATTGATGGATCTTTTAGGTCTGCTCTTCAACCCGGTAGTGATGGACATGTTGTGATCTGTGCCGAGAGCGGGTCTACGCAAGTGAAAGCATCTAATTTCGATGCTATTGCTTATGTTCATGCTTCTGACAATCCTTACAACTTGATGAAAGAGGCCTTTAGTGCTATTAGGGTTCATCTTAATACCTTCAGGCTGTTGGAAGAGAAAACAGTTCCGAATCTGGTTGACAAATTCGGTTGGTGCACTTGGGATGCCTTCTACTTAACGGTTGAACCTGCTGGAATTTGGCACGGTATAAATGAGTTCACTGAAGCCGGTGTGTCTCCTCGCTTTCTCATCGTTGATGATGGCTGGCAAAGCATCAGTTTTGATGAAAATGAAGACCCGAATGAGGACGCGAAAAATCTAGTCCTTTGTGGAAGTCAGATGCTTGCTAGGCTTCACAGGTTTGACGAGTGCAAGAAATTCCGGAACTACAAAGGCGGTTCCATGTTAAGTCCAAACGCGCCTTCGTTTGATCCCAAAAGGCCAAAGATGTTGATAGCAAAAGCAATAGAAATTGAGCAAGCTGAGAAGACCCGTGACAAGGCCGTTCGGTCTGGGGTCACTGACCTATCTGTCTTCGAAACAAAAATTCAGAAGTTGCAGCAAGAGTTGAGTGAGTTACTTGGTGGGCAAGAAACTGGTGCTAGTAATGGAAGCTGCCGGGGATGTACTTGCAGGGTTGGAAGCTATGGACTGAAGGCTTTCACAAGTGACTTGAGAAGCAATTTTAAGGGTTTGGATGATATATATGTGTGGCATGCTCTTTGTGGGGCCTGGTGTGGTGTTAAGCCTGGTGCAACCCATCTCAATGCTAAGATCACTCCCTGCATTCTCCCTCCCGGACTTGACGGAACTATGAATGATCTCGCGGTGGATAAAGTGCTTGAAGGGGGAATGGGGCTTGTTCATCCCGATCATGCTTCTCTTTTATACGACTCGATGCATTCGTACCTCTCTGAAGTTGGCGTCACAGGAGTCAAAGTGGATGTTATTCATGTAAGTTTAGTACCCTGAAATTTTTGATAATATTGCTACTCTACATTTGCTCATTTTGACAGTAGTATGAATTGCGCAATGCGCGCGTGCTTAATTTTATTTGCAATGAATTTTTGTAGATTCTTGAATATGTGTCTGAGGAACATGGAGGTCGCGTGGAGCTTGCGAAGGCTTATTACAAGGGCCTGAGTGATTCTCTTGTGAAGAACTTCAATGGGAGTGGACTTATTTCTAGCATGCAGCAATGCAACGACTTCTTCTTCCTCGGGACAAGGCAAATTTCCATGGGAAGAGCTGGTTAGGAAGTCTAAACAAATCGATCTATTCTTAATGAGATTGCGGACATATATCAACCCTTTCGTACTGTATTCTTGTGTTGCAGGTGATGATTTTTGGTTCCAGGACCCGAGTGGAGATCCAATGGGAGTTTACTGGCTACAAGGTGTTCATATGATCCACTGCTCCTACAACAGTATGTGGATGGGGCAGATGATCGTGCCGGATTGGGATATGTTCCAATCAGACCATCTTTGTGCCAAATATCATGCCGGGTCTAGGGCTATCTGTGGAGGTCCGGTGTATTTAAGTGACTTCGTTGGTAGTCATGATTTCGATCTCATCAAGAAGCTTGTTCATCCAGATGGAACTGTTCCCAATTGCCTGCATTGTGCCCTTCCAACCAGAGACTGCCTCTTCAAAAATCCTTTGTTTGACGGCAAAACTGCTCTCAAAATTTGGAACTTCAACAAGGTATAAAATGCATAATTTCTCTAGATTTGTCGATAATGTATGAATACTATGTCAGTACGTTTTGGCTACAATGCTATGACACAATATCAATGGCATATCAACAGACGGTTCTTTAGGTGTACTAGTGTATAATGTGCAACTCAATGTTAGTTAAGTGGGTTAATCTTTGCTTTCTAGTTTGTCTCGATTCAATCTTTAAAGCGCGCTCGCTTTTCTACTTATTCGCAGTTTGGTGGTGTGATTGGAGGATTCAACTGCCAAGGAGCAGGTTGGGACCCCAAGGAGCAAAGGATCAAAGGCTTTCCAGATTGCTACAAGCCAATCCTTTGTTCAGTGCATGTTTCTGATATTGAATGGGATCAAAACTTAGAACTAGCTCATATGGGAAAGGCTGAAGAGTACATTGTCCATCTCAACCAGGACGATGAACTCCGCGTTTTGACTCCAAAATCTGCTGCTATTCAAATCACTATCCAGCCGTCTTCCTTTGAGATTTTCACCATTGTGCCAGTCCAAACCCTCAGCCCTGGCAACAAATTCGCTCCGGTGGGACTTACAAACATGTTCAACAGTGGAGGAAGCATCCAGGAATTGGAGTACACAATTGAGGGGGAAGTTAGTGCAAAGGTGAAGGTCAAAGGTGGAGGCAGTTTCTTGGCCTACGCGAGTGGGTGTCCAAAGAAATGTTGTCTGAATGGTGGAGAGGTGGCTTTTGAGTGGTCTGATAAGGGCAAACTGAAGCTCAATCTTCCTTGGGTTGAAGAAGCTGCTGGCATTTCTGAGTTAGTTTTTATGTTTTGACCTACTTGGTTAAACTTTGCTTAAGTAAGGCTTAAAAATTAGCACTACTATTAAGTTTCAGTTTGCAATATTTCCTTCTTTTAACCCACTTTTGTGGGAATTTTGGACACTCTGCATCTATATTTTCTTAACTAAATGTAAGTTTCTATAAATATATAATAAAATGCTAGCTTTTCTAATCCTCTGCACTTTGTATTTATCTCTTTTACATGTGTTTTCCTTTGAGCAGAAGACATTGACTGTTTTAGGTTTTGCCATACTTCACAAAATTCCAAGGTCCACGGTGCCTTTGTGACTTATGTATGATGATGGATAAGCTTATGAGTTTCTGCACGCTTTTGTATGTTATATTATATACACAATACATGACTATGAATTTAACGTGCATAATAAATAACTGTTTTAATTTTTCTTCTTTTGCATGAATATAACATCTTTTGAAGTACTCCTAAAATCATTAACTATAACTATGTAGTACATTAAACTGATTAGTTGCATAATGGATGAGTGATTCGTTGTCACTTCATAATGAGGTTAAATTAAGCATGTCTTAAACTCTCAGGTTAATAGAGTATTCCATGTCGCTAACATGCGGAAGCAAGTAATAAAAAAATCATTACCTATGACTAGTTTTACTTTGAATTTTCTGTTCATATAAAGAAGCCCTATGCACCCAAGGGTTCTTTTTAAAGTAAAAGTGGAGATAAGTGCTTATACTGCTACTAATTCTTTTATCACCGAACTCAATGTAGCAGCTGACCGAAAATAAGGCTGAAAAAAAAGCCGTAGGCTTTAAAGTCCCAATAGTTGCTTAGAAAAATGAGTTAGAATTAAGATATATCAATAGTCGATTTCTTTTATTTTAATGATTCAGATAAAATTAAATACTATAGTTATAATCCTTAAACGTTGATTAGTATATATTGTTTTCACACTTATACAGACTCTCACACTCTATTATATATGTACTTAATTTGCTTTAGCTATCAACTAGCTAGATAACTTTTACGTTAATCAATAGTCATCAGCTACATGTTTACTGAGACCGTCTCCAGTTGAAGGATCAAAATCATTTTTTAAAGGAAAACATGGATAGTCATGCAAAATATACCCATCAAATTAACATCCAACAATTACCTTGTTTACATCTCTGCATATATTTTAAAAATAAATAAACCTATGAAATGACACATTTCTTTTAAAATCATGATCAATATTAATCTTATAAATGGTTTCTAATTATTGATGCTAGTCATTTGTTTCTTTAGCCGGCAATAGCATTTGTAGTTTTGTTAAGAGTAGTCGGATTCGCAGGTATTTTGCTGACAAATAAAAGTTGAACGTTAATCGTTATATTGCCTTGAAAAATAGTTCATTTGTTCTTTGAATTAATAACTTCGAACACATCAACGTGATTTCTAATTGCGAACAAAGAAAGATCAGAATAAGAATTTTCAGTCTTCTGCTGCTCAAAAATAGTGCTTTTTGGTGATGATAAACACTATGCGACAATTTTGTAGACTTAGTAAAAATTTAAAATAAATGAAGATTATTTAAGGCCAATTATTTGCATTGTGCAATCCAAACTCAAAGATTCCGTGGCAGAAACAAATGAGCGACAAGGAGTTTTAAATAGTGATAGTGATCATAATGGAAGCTTTGTTGTTGTCTCCATTCATGCAGCTGTGAGCGAACAAAGCTTTTAAATCTCTCTCTCTCTCTCCATTTCCCTTTAACTACTTGATCATCGTATCCTCAAAGATCTCATTCATTCTGAGACCAAAACAATGGGTGCAAAGATGAAGGTGGTCGCTTCAGACCAAACCAAGACCATCACCAAACAGGTCACAAGCATGAAGGGTGGCCTTAGAACCATGCCTTTTATCATCTGTATGCTCTCTTTTATGATCAGGATCTCTATGCATGATGTTTGTTTTTTATTCGACAAATAAAAACAGATATATGTTCTAGAACTGGACTACTTATGTGACATCCCTAGTTTGTGGTATAATTTTATTTTGAGGATCAAATTAAGGTTTATGCGAAGTTTTTCATGTGCAGCAAATGAGTCATTCGAAAAGGTTGCAAGCTTTGGTCTTCAGGCTAATATGATCTTTTACTTGATATTGGAATATCACTTGGACGCCGCTACCGGATCTAGCATCTTGTTCTTGTGGTCAGCCTTGTCAAATTTTACGCCTATTATCGGAGCTTTTCTCGCCGATTCTCTCTGGGGTCGGTTTCATGTGATTTCTATGGGAACAATCGTTAGCCTATTTGTAAGCAAAGTTTGCCCTAATTCTCCATATCATGTTAAGTTGTCATCTATGTTACGTGCACAAAAAAAATTAATAGAAAATTAGATTTTAATCCTTAAATAAGATGAAGTTTAGAAAAATATATTTTATAAAAGATTAAAAATTAATTTTAGTCCCTAGACTCTATTAATGCCAGTTTATGTATTTAATGTCACTTTTTATTTATTTATGATTTTTTGGTGTTCAAAAATAAAAATTTTAAATTATATTATAAATTTTAATTCTCATTATAGTATCTTATGAAGATATTTTTGTAGATATTTTTCGGTACACTTATATTTTTGCATATTGTCTTATGTGCCATTAATTCATTGTAATATATTTAGGTACGAACATTTCGGTACACTAGTTTAGTATAATATTTTTAGATACGGACATTTCGGTACACTAGTTTAGTATAATATATTTAGGTACGGATATTTCGGTACACTAGTTTTGTATCATTTATTTAGCTACGGAATTTTTTGCACACTTATGTTTTTGCATATTTTCTTATGTGTCACTAATTCACTACAATGTATTTAGGTACTACAATATATTTAAATACGGACATTTTAGTACACTAATTTAGTAAAATATATTATGATACGGATGTTTAGGTACACTAATTACAAGAAGTAAATAAAATTAATGAATTAAATTGTGTATAATAATAAATTTAAAATTTAATGTAATAACATTAAATAAGATATCTATTAAATATTAAAACAAAAGTATATATAATTTGAATTAAGTACACATTAAAGGACTAAAATCAATGTCCAATCTAACACCAAATTTTTATTAAATTTTAATCTTCTTCAAGGATTAAAGTTCAAAAACCCCAAAAATTAATCATATTTTACCTTGCAGGGAATGATTGTGTTATGGCTAACAGCAAAACTTCCACAAACAAGGCCACATCATTGCGACCCGTACAAAGAAAAATGTGTTCCAGCAAACACAGCTCAAGTCATGCTTCTCTTCGCCTCATTTGGCCTCATGTCGATTGGAGCCGGTGGCATCAGACCATGTTCCTTGGCCTTCGGTACCAATCAACTGGACAATCCAGACAACCCAAATAACGAAAGGCGCTTGCAGAGCTTCTTCAATTGGTATTATGCTTCGGTTGGAGTCTCAGTCATGCTTGCAGTGACAGTCATTGTTTATATTCAGGATCAAATTGGATGGGTTGTAGGGTTTGGAGTCCCTGTAGGGCTCATGTTCTTGTCCACTGTTTTCTTCTTCTTGGGATCTTCCCTTTATGTCAAAGTTCCTCCGAACAAGAACCTGTCTGCTGGATTTCTCCGAGTGTTTGCAGCTGCTTGGAAAAACAAAAACATGGCGTTGCCACCAAAGAATTTTGATGCATGGTACAGTCCCAAGGGTTCCAAGTTTGTCGCTCCGACGGATAAACTAAGGTAAAGGGACATCTAAATACATTATCTTGTTAATATAACGTGGTATATGCATGTACTTAACTATAAATGTCACTAAGCTATCATATTTTATTCCCTAATAGGCATAGAACAAAAACTCCTAAAAGAACAACGTATTTCACGAGTACGTATATATATCTTTGTATATATGAATCATCACATATCTACCACCAGTTTTATATAATCCTGAGCCTATTATATCAATTTTAGCTCGAGCCTGTAACACTGGTTTTACCCTTAACTTGCTTCCCTCCACACCTAGATAGCTCACCTCACATTAACATATTTAATGAGAGAGATAGACTCATAGTTATATACAGAACTAGTTACACTTAAAATTTTCTCTTCACATGCATATGACAATTGGTTTTGACTTGATGTGTGTATTGATAATTTATATATATGCATATGTATTGGGTCATTTTAGGTACCTAAATAAAGCTTGCATCATAAGAAGTCCTGAAAAGGACATAGGCCCTGATGGTTTGGCCAAAGATCCATGGAGTTTATGCACTGTCAGGCAAGTAGAGGAGCTGAAAGCCTTGATCCGAGTCCTGCCCATTTGGTCTAGCAGCATTATAATCTCAGTTATAATCAGCCAACACGCGTTTCCCGTGCTCCAAGCAAAGTCCATGGAGAGGCATTTGTTTGGCAAGATCAAAATTCCAGCAGCCTCATTTTCCGTGTTTGGAATCCTCACTCTCACAATATGGGTGGCCATCTACGACCGTATTATAGTCCCCTTGATATCAAAGTACACGAAAAGGCCACGCGGGCTTAGCTTCAAGCAACGAATAGGGGGTGGACTAGCAATCTCCTGTTTGGCAATGGCAGTGGCTGCAGAGGTTGAGAGGCACAGAAGACAAACAGCAATCCGAGAGGGTTTTTTGAACAAACCGGACGGTGTAGTCGGCATGTCTGCCAAGTGGATGATCCCACAACACTGCCTCATTGGACTCGCTGAGGCTCTCAATGCAATTGGGCAACTGGAGTTTTACTACTCTCAGTTCCCAAAAAGCATGTCCAGCATTGCAGTGGCTCTTTTGACACTAGGGTTTGGAGTTGGGAGCTTGGTGGGGAGTTTGCTTGTTACTATTATCGCTGATGCCACTAGAAAAGGAGGTGTGAGCTGGGTTTCAAGCAACCTAAACAAGGCTCACTACGATTATTACTATTGGATCGTTGCTGGGTTGAGTGTGGTAAATGTCTTTTACTTTTTACTGTGTAGTTGGGCATATGGGCACTGTGAGGATAAAAAGATTTGGGATGAGGAAGAAGGGGAGGCAGGGGAGGAACTGTCCAAGTCCGGGGAGTATGCAGTTATGTTCTCCGCATAAATTAGGTCCCCGATGTGTTTAGTTTCTGGGATTGTGTGCACATTAGGGTTTGCATAAGCATATAAAACCTAAACATGTCTATATATCCAGTGCTTAGTGTGATTTTTAGGACATGATATCTACATATTGTTCGTGTATTATTAGAATTTGCAATTAAGTTTGTTCGAACTTACGAGCGGATCGGATTTTTCACTTGCACGATCTCAGTTTAATTTATTTTTATTTTGTTATACAAGCAATATTTTATGTTAAATTCAGTTTTTTATTTATTCAAGGGAATTGTTATTCGCACTTCAAAAATCTCATTTTTTACTCCAAACTTTCTATAATTAGAAAGAATAATACACTTCTAAGAAGTGTAGAATGAGATTTTTGGAGTGCTAATAACAGTTCCCTTATTTAAAATCTCATTTATTTTATAACTTTGTAACGTTGTTTAATGATTAAAATATATGTTTTCAAGATCATTCATTAAAAATATCAACCCTACAAAAAGTCAACAAATTAGAAATTATTTTAATGATTTAACATTGTCATATCAACTGGCAAATCTTTATCAGTGTTTTGGATAACAATTAGATGATTAAATAATTTATGATTTACTTGTTTTTTGCATTTATGAATTTTAGGGTAATATAAAAATTGGACAATTTTGATCAACAAGTATTATTGCACTAGAAAAACTTGCATGGAATGAATATTCACCGTCACGTGATGTTCTAGAATTTCGATTCAATATTTCAATATAAAGTAAAAAAAAAAAAAATTACAGATGACATTATTGGTTCATTTGTAAGTGCATTTCAAATGATTGAAATCGCTTTTAAAATGACTCAAAGCACTTAAAGTACTTCCTGCAAGAACTACTTCAAGTGTTTTTTTCATAAATCATTTGAATTTTTACTAAAGATGGGTTTAAAAAGTATTTTTACAAAAAAAAAAAAAAGTTTTCAACAATTTTAAAAGCAGTTTCAAACGAACCTATGTTATTACTTATTAGAGCAATGCATCATCTGAACCAATGTAACTATGTAAGAGCTCGTTTGGCAAGTGATTTTAAATGGTTAAAATAACTTTTAAAGAAAATATTTTTGGGTACCAAAAACACTAGCTATGTGCTTATTGTAAAAAAGGTCATTTTGATTCCGGTCCCTAGTCAACTCAATTGTTATATTGAAATCTTATTGTTTTTTATTTTTTGATCAAAGTCCTTTAACTTTGTATACCTCAGCATTTTAGTATTACTATATTTCCATGTCATCTTAAATAAAAAACTAGAATTAAAATATTGATTGCAGTCCAACATTTAAGGGATTTAAATTCAAGAATTTATGCAATTTAAAATTTTATGGGATCATGTATGTACAAATCTCACGAATTATGAGACTTAAAATTTAGAAGGAAAAAAAAAATTTCTACAATAAAAATTCATGCACACTGCACATATTTTTGTGAATTTCATCGAGTAGTATTAAGGGAAATAATGTACCCCATGAAATATGGGTACATACCGAATTTACAAGAAAACTCATGAGTACATTTAAAAACTCAAGGAAAAGAATGTACATCATACCACATTGTTTTATAGACATGCATATGTGGGTACATAAAATGCAGCAACCTTAAAAACCATTTTACATAATATTCTCTAAAAACTTTGTACCCATATATTTATGTAAAAACGAATTTGAACCAACATATTAGAGCAATAGATATATTAGAACGAAACATGTAGATTAAAAATGTACCCATGGATATAAGTGCAGCCAACCAGACATTGAATAATCAAGACTAATATATAATAATAAAAGGAAAAGAAAAAAATATATATAAAGAATAAAAGAAGATGACTTCAGAATGGTACAATTTTCACATAGCCCGCTTACTCTGCAATCTCTGCATATTTGAATCAACTAGATTCCTTGAGAAAGCGATGCCTGCACTGCCTTGCCCATGCCACACAAATCTTTCAAGCCGATAAAACCATTGATGCTAATTTGTATTTTAATCACAATAGGTTTATTCAACATATATGCATTGGATCAATTCAGAAATGGAGAACAAATGGAGAAATTTGGGTTTGGGGTGTTGTAAATTCCGGATGTGCATAAGGGAAGAAGAAGAATGGAGGAGTTCAAACGGATTTTCTTTGTTTTAAACTTACTCATATAGTTTGTTTTGCCTTAAATGCACAAAGGGATAAGATTTCATCTATGATGATGTGTAATATTTTAAATACTAAAATGATGACATAGAATAAGTCAAATGACCTTGATCTAAAATAGAAAAATAATAAGGTTTCAATCAATGTAATATGAAAATAAGAGATGTAAACTTAATTTTTCCAGCGTCATTTTGATTCCGGTCCCTAGTCAACTGAATTGTTAGATTGAAATCTTATTGTTTTTTATTTTTTGATCAAAGTTCTTTGACTTTGTACACCTCAGCATTTCAGTATTACTATATTTTCATGTCATCTTTATGATATCTTAAATAAAAAACTGTAAATTAAAATATTGATTGCAGTCCAATGGGAACCTAATTTTTCCTTGCAAAAATCACTTCAAGTGATTTTCCATTATTAACTTACATCTTTACAAGAATTGATTGTAAAATATTTTCTTTCAAAACATTTAAAAGTACTTGTCAAACGAGCTCTAAGTCAATCTTAACCAACCCCACACCAAAAATATAAAAATAAAAAGAAAACAAATTAAAGACCGGACCGAAAATATTTATCAAATCCAGTTGAAAAAACCCCTCAAGTCCACCACACTCTCCCTAGTAGTCCTCGTAATAGAAGGCTCTACATAGCGACTCCTGCACACCCTTTCGTTCACCTCCACCGTCCGATCATCGCATTCAATCACCGTAACCGCTGATCAAAAGCAACGGCTCCGATTGCAGTCGGCGATGTTATTCCAGACGGCACTCTCGCCTACTTCGACGAGGAAGACAAGGTCCAATCCGTCAACATCCACTGCCTCGCCGCCGGCAAAAAAGTCATCCTCTTCGGCGTCCCCGGTGCCTTCACCCCCACTTGCAGGTAAAAGCTCGAGTCTTTCGGTTTCCGATTTTATTGGATATAGAATTTTGTGCTAAACCTTACCCACTGTTTGGTTCCCGGGAAAATGGTAGGAAAATGTATAACAAATGAGCCCCGCATTGGTAAAGTTGCTTGCTTCGGTGTGAATTTGTTACTTGTGAAGTGGACGGTTTAGATTGGTGACTGGTTTGAATCGGACGGTTGTAGATATTTGGATTCTTTTCCGATGATTATTAGTTATTTTTCTGAGAAATTGAGGTTCTTGTTTTTGCTGTGGTTGTACAGTTTGAAGCATGTGCCTCGATTCATTGACAAAGCAGAGGTACTTAAATCAAAGGGTGTTGAGAAAATTCTCTGCCTTAGCGGTATTACTTCTCACTTAACTGCATTTTCTGTTAATTTCAGTTTACTTGCAGCAATTATGGTATCGCATTTAGTTGAAGTTTTCAAGGTTAATTCCTTGAATTTGATTGAGGCGTGAGTTCGTGGACTAACCCGAAAACCGCTTTGCCCTTTAGTTCAGTTGATCACGGATTGTACATGTTGTTGTGGCCGAATTTGCTGGATTATAGATTCATCATATAGTAAATGTCGATATGTTTGTCACGAGTTTTATGCCGGATTTAATAATTTGAGGTTAATGCTGAGTTTAGCGATTCCTTTAAGGTCATAGAACTTACATTGAGTATGGCAAATGCTTCCTGTGTATGCTGTTGTAACTTGTAATGACTAGTTAAGTGCTCCTAGATATTGGTAGATGGTCCTCTGTTGGGATCAAACGTCGATTGCATTTCTTATCGTTTGAGTCAAGAATCTACCGCAGACTTGCGGTTTGCTTTTTCTTATTTCATCCACATTGGACACTAACACACCTTCATATTAGTTGGTCTTGCAATCACTCTCCCGTTGTCGCTATGCATTGCTGGTTTATTGCTGTTACTCGATGGGGTGTTGTCGCAGAGGCTACTAATGAGCTCACGAATGATAGCTTTGTATGTCTATCAACCGCTCATGAGAATGCGATGCGAATTTGTTTACCGAACTCTTTTATTTTCAAGCTTACTTGTGGTGAAGGATCCCTTTGTGATGAAGGCTTGGGCTTGAACATAGCCCAAGAACAAAGATGTTCTTTTCCTTGCTGATGGCTCAGCAAAATACACCCATGATCTCGGCCTTGAGCTAGACCTTTCAGAGAAAGGGCTGGGAACTCGTTCTAAGAGGTGTGCTCTCTTGATCGAAGACCTCAAGGTGAAGGCTGCAAACATCGAGAGTGGGGGCGAATTTACCATCTCCAGCGCCGATGACATCCTCAAGGCTCATTGAATATTTACATTCCCTCACCCCAAGCTTGCTGCTTCTTGTATCTGAGATTTGAGCCTCCCCTTCTGTATTGTCTCCAGCCTTTTTAGTCTGGTGGCATTTTATGTCTACGTGGATCTTCAAATCTTCTGTTTAGTAGTTTGTGCACTGAAAACGACAATGCGTTTAGACAAAGAAATTTAAAATTACTAAAGAATTTTATTTTCCAGGATTTGTGAAATTTTTTTTTTTTCTTTTCTATTTTTGAACAAAAAAATATTGTCTACCACTAAGGGGAGGGGAGTGGACTTAGTCTCACAATGAGTTAGCAATAATGTGGTTTAAATTTATCTTTGGCGAGAAGCGAACTTATGACATCTAGGAATAATATGTTTCAAATTTGTCTTGAGCGAGAATTGAACTTATGACCTTTAGCAATAATGTAGTTCAAATTTGTCTTTGGTAAGAATCGAACTTAAGACATCTCACTTATAAATGAAGAAGAATATCATTAGACCATAATACTAAGTGACGTGAATTTCTTGTTTGAATATTGAATTTTTAATTTTTAAACTCTCACTTTGGAATTTAGAAATGACATTTATTTTCATGTAATTTAGACTTGAAAGGGTTCCAAATTTCATTTTTTTTCACAAGAACATTTTAAATTTTTATGTTTATAAATTCAAACAAGAGAATAGGTACATCTCAATTTATAAATTCTCACTTTTGTCAAAATTTCAAATTTAATTCTCACATCTCAACGTAAGGAGTTATTTTGTGATATATGAGGGAGAATGTTGAAATGATAATACAGGACATTTTGTAATATATGAGGGAGAATACTGGGACCTAGAGCTCTTTGGTGGAAAATAGATCTAGAAATTGAACGAGACCTTAACATATCGACCCATCGAGGAGGTCCAACATATCTTTGAGGAGGATTTATATGAAATGGAGACGTCAAGGTGATCACGTCTCAAGCTTTTCATAGCAATGTAATGTCTCAAATTTTGACATTTACGGTTTTTTACAAGTCTCTATCATGTTATAGGGGTTCAATCCCTAAACCACATGTTTAAGCATGTTTACATACTTAGAATTGGAGTTATTCTAATTTTTACACATTGGATATAAATGAGTCTAGTTCATTTGTGTTATTTACACACAATAGAAATGTACGTATTATAAAATACTTGAAAAACAAAGGATTAGAATGACTATAAGAGCAGTTGATTTTCGCCCTTACATATGACTTGTCTTTTTAAGTAAATAAACATGATTTTAAGTATCGAAGTAAACCTCTAGCTTTTTCAACAGTACACAAAAACACAAGGTCAAAGGGGAGGAAACCTATCTTATTTCAACAATATTAACAAGAAATTTTCTAGTGTCAACCAAAGCATAATATACACAAAACCATTGTCGTTAGATTATTGATCTTATTGTTCCATTGCTCCAACACACGTCATACACCAAAGCACTGTAGAATTTTTGCATTAACAAATGGCCCAAATGAGCATTATGAAATTGCTGATTTTTGGAGTTTGGGTGATTGTTCCAACCATGATAGGGTGAACCTGGTCCCCTTGGTCCTGCCACTTCTCTAACTCTGTAACTACAATTCAACTTTTAAAATGCCATCAAACTGTCTAAATAAAGCTTAAAAAAAATTTAATCCAAAAAATGGCATATCCATATTGCAATGCATGCATTTGTTTCACCTAAGAAGCCACAATCACTTGGCAACTTGTCAATTAATCATTCAAACTGCTTAGATTTTGTTTACCAATTGAAAGACAAATAATCTTAGAAAAATACACTTTCGTATCTAATCAAAACAGTTATTTTTTAAAATTTTTAGGGCTGGTTTAAAATTGTTTTTAAAATGTTTGAAAGCATTTTTGAATTAATTTTTGGTAAAATGCAAGTGAATGCTAAAAAAATATTTTAAATACTTCTTTTTTAACTGGTGTTTCTTGCTATAAGCACTTTAAATACTTATGAAACTTAAAAATATTTTCTCTAAAAACGTTTTTAGTAAATTTAAAAATACTTCCAAACGAACTTTTAATGTTGATGGACAATGGCCGGCAATCAAGGATGTGGGTCCATATTTTAAGTAACCGTTCAAGGTGTTGCATGTGTATCAACAGAGATAATAGCATTTAGCGACGAGGATAGGGATTGATGCATGCACTGCCAATTTCTTATCATTGTTTTTTGATAAATTCTACTGCTACAGCTGATAGTCTATATTCTAACAAAGCTTAAGACTATCTCCAATCGAAGGATCCAGAAGGTTAGAGGGCCGAAAATAGTCCGAAAACAGTCTCCAACCAAAAGCTAGGCCAAAGAGCTGTGGAATCTAAGAGGGCCACATGGAATTTGAGAGGGCTAGAGGGCTGGAGGGCTGCATGCAGCCAGCCAGCCTGAGGTTGGCCAACAAATAAAGCAATTCTGTCTGTTATAACTGATAGGAATATATTTATATTAAAAAAATTAAATATATTCCTGCAGCTATAACTGACAGGTTTGCTTAAAAAAAATTTGAATACAACGGTTAGCTGACTAGTTGTTGTATTCAATTTTTTTTTTTTTTTTTTTGGTTTTTTGGGCCAATTTTTTTTTTTAATTCTTAAAAATTCTATTTTTTTCATATAAATACCTAAACCATTCATTAAATTTAAGTTCTAATTATTTTGGTTTTTTGGACCAGTTATCGTTTTAGTTTTTAAATTTAAATAATAAATCCCTTTGGCCCTCGGTTGGAGACGGAGACAAATATGGTAATGTACTGTTCATTAAAATATTAATATTTTGAATGATCTTGGAGGGCCAGAGGGCTAAAACGAGCCCTCTGTCCAACCATCGGTTGGAGATGACCTAATGCGCGAGTAATTCGAACTTGTATACTTAAAGAGTATGCTGTTATAATCAACTTAATTTTTAATAAAAAAACATTATAAATTCTACGGAAGTTAAAATTATCTCAATATAAATTAACTGAATATTTTGACAGCTAAGAATATACAGTAAATAAAATATATAAAATGCCCTTCAACTGTTGTTCTGTTTTTACGTGACAAACATAATGAAAAATTGACACAACCTTGTTGTCTGTTTCTGTTGGTTCTGCCTTCATCATAGTATTACTTCTCAATTAGTACGAAGCTCGGTTTTTAACAAATCTGACCAGAAGAGGCCAAAAGGCGAGATGCTCAAAATGAATAGGAAGTATTATTCTAAATTATTTCAGTTCATAAAACTTAGTGTTTATGATCAAAATCATTGATATTATAAATCATTATATAAAGATTACCTCTATAAAAATCAATTAAAATTAATATTGTTTAGTCATCAAATTGTGTAAAAACAACTGAACAGAATTGGTAAAAGAATTCTGAACTGTCTATGTATTTGGCTATTTGCTATAATATATTGATTAAACGACCTTAGTTTTAATTCATTTTTTGCAGAGATGATCTTTATAGAGTGATTCATAATATGAACGGTCCTGATCATAAGCACAAACCCTGTAATTTAAATACGAAGAGTTTTGAATTGGAGTTCATATCTAACTTTAAGTAGCCAACCATTGTTCGAACAAAAAAAAAAAAAAAAAAAAAAAAAGCCTAAGAAACTAGTTCAGGCATGATTCTGGCAGTTCAATGTTTATTGTCATGTTGAATAATAAGTTTTCGCTCGAAAACTTTTTGGCAGCTCGAAAAAAGTTTTGAAAGTAACGTGATTAAGGCATTTTATTGTTATTCTTTTCGAGACATCCTTTAGTTTGAAAGTATATTTGGAAGTTAGGCAGCTAAGTTGACATCAATAAAACTTGAACGTTTGGCAGTTGATGTATCAAAATACTTTAACCACTAAAGTTCTATTGAAAGACAGTAGAAAACTATGTCAAGCAAGATTTAAACACAAAACTAAACCTTTTTTAATCTTTTGAAAATACTAAATACTTTCCAGTTAAAAGCAAGGAGGGCCACCTTATAATATATATATATATATATATATATGAGCCATGAATAGACTAGAATGGTCTCGGACCTATTATGATATTTTTTCATATAGAAAAACTAGAGTTATCCCACTGATTTCCAATAATTGTAAATATGTGATGACAAAGAAGGTTTTGACTATTCACATATTCGTAAAAATCAACATCATCGATTCATCGTCACCAAACAAACGAACATTAGAATCTGACCAAAAATCTAGAGTAACAATTTAAGTTGTGGCTAAGATGATGATCAGACGATGAACGAGTTGATGACTAAGAGATGAATTTGCAAGCGTGTTGCAAATTATTGTATCGGTTTTTAATATTTGTGAGAAGTTCCTTTTAATCCGAAATTCTGACTATGCCATTGATATATATATTATATATAGGTACGAACTAATGCAGATGTTGTAACAAAGTTGGATTTTACAGTTGTACTGTTCAATTTCATTTCTTTACCATGAATGTGACCGCAAGTTGGAAACCAGCAAAAAAGATGAAAGAGGAGGGTCCCATTTTTCTGTACATTCAAAAAATATTTCTGTTGGATTTGAAATTAGCTTCGAGGGACTCAAAAGTGGTGGAGCTATAGACCCTTTGACCACAAACAAAGCCGTCCCTCCTCTCTGTCTCTCTCTCTTAAATTTTAAATCTTTCTTCCCGAAATTAGAAGAAGGACTTGGCTTCTATATCATCTCACACCTCAACAAAAAGCCAGACACTGTTCTCAGCTCTCTTTCTTCTACTTCTTCAACCGCTTCTTCTGTTCAGCTTTTTGTTTAAGCTGAACGTTCTGAAGCTCATTTCACATATACACATATATATTCCTAGAAGTGCTTTTGGCTAAAGTGCTTGATTACCAAGTGGCTGGTGTTTATTTCAAGTTGGGGGGTTGAGAGAATGAGTGCTTCAAAGTTCATTAAATGTGTCACAGTTGGAGATGGAGCTGTTGGGAAGACCTGTATGCTCATTTGTTACACCAGCAACAAGTTTCCTACCGTGAGTCCTTAAAAAACTCATCTCAAAAATGCTTTTTCTTTCCTTGCATTTATTTTTTGGATATTTTTATCAGATTTTTGCCATGAATTTTCTTTTATATTTATACTGAAGATGTGCTGCACAAATCAAGCTAAAAACTAAAAAAGTAAGATAAAAATTACATAAATTTGTCGATTAATATAATCTTTTTTTGTGTGTGTCAGGATTATATACCCACAGTTTTTGACAATTTTAGTGCAAATGTGGCTGTGGATGGGAATATAGTGAACTTGGGGCTATGGGACACCGCAGGTAAAGGGAAAATCATTTTATTACAGTTTTACTGCTGCTGATTTCTGGGATTCAAAGTTTGGAGATTGGAGGATTTTGGTTTTTTTTTTTTTTTTTTTCTCAGTTTTTACAAATTACCCTTTTTTGTATTTTGTCTTCAAAGGCCAGGAGGATTACAGCAGGTTGAGGCCGCTGAGTTATAGAGGTGCAGACATATTTGTGTTAGCTTTCTCTTTAATTAGCAGGCCAAGCTATGAGAATGTTCTTAAGAAGGTACTAATTCCATGGCTAATTATTGATTTTGTTTAATTATAAGACTTGGATTTGGTGTTTCACTGACTAAGATGCATACAATTCTGATATATTTTCACAGTGGATGCCGGAACTTCGTAGGATTGCTCCCAATGTTCCAATTGTTCTTGTTGGTACAAAGCTAGGTAAGGCAACAACTTGTCGATTTGGTTTCTCCGATAATTTGTTAGGGTGTCTTTTAGGAGTAAATTTTGTCAGCATTTTGCTTATATGTATATCATCTGTATGTTTAAGATCTTCGCGAGGACATGGGCTATCTAGCCGATCATATGGGATCCAACATCATAACTTCTGCTCAGGTAATGGTTTCCGTTTGTTTCAGTTCCTCAAGGTTATTGTTTCCTTAAAGCATTTGGGTTTATGTGGAAGTGTCTAATTATGCTTAGTATGCAGGGAGAGGAGCTGAGAAAACAAATAGGTGCTGCAGCTTATATCGAGTGCAGCTCGAAGACCCAGCAGGTAGCCAACTTAGAAGAACTTAAAATTCCGGGGATATTTCATGTCTAATGTTATCAAAGACAAATTTTTTTTATTGAGCGTGATAAATTAGTATAATGTTCTTGCTTGATAAAGATTGCTGATTGACGAACTCTGCTTGATTTCGATTAGAATGTCAAAGCTGTTTTCGATACTGCCATTAAGGTTGTTCTTCAACCTCCGAGAAGGAAGGATATGGCTAAGAAGAAAAGGCACCGGAGATCTGCTTGCTCAATTGCGTAAGTACATCTTTCGTGATGTGGTGTTTTATGTTACCCCAATAGTTTCTATTCAACCTCAAGGGATAATAACTTGATGAGGTTTAGCAGTTCGCCCAATGACAATAATTTCATAAACCTAATCACAAGAACTTACTTGCTTTTGCGATTTGATAGAGATAATTACCCGGTGGTTAGAAACGTAAGTCATTGCCTACCCTTGCTCAGGCTTGAGTCTAGGATCTCGAACTCCGCCTTCTGCTTAAGGATCGATATGTGTCACTAGATCAACCTGTCATTGGCAAAGTGAAGTGCATGTAAAACGAGAAAATGAACCAGGACAAAATTGGTTAGAATATGTGTCTTTCGATTTGTTAAATGTTTGCTACTGTGGTTCAAGGAGCTGATATGGCGAACTAATTAGGGATGAACGAAACTGTGTTGTCATATCCAGATATAGCCAAATAATTCCTCAATTATAATTTGAAACGAAAGCGAAAACTTGATTGAGCTGGCTCTGTTAATAGGTTCTTCACTAGTTGACAAATTTTAAACGTACACTGTTGTTGCATTGCGATAATCCTTATAATCGTTAACATGGAACATCGAAAGTGACTAGGCATGGTCCGGTTGGTCTTATGGTAATCGTTTTCTTGATCTATCAGTGCAATTTTACCGAGATTCATGTATATATCTCTGCAAAAAACATATCCTAAAACACATTGTTCTTACTGATACAGGAGCATTGTCTGTGGAGGCTGTGATGTTTAGGATGACACAGGAGGAATGCTAACCACCCGCCGTGTGGAACATATAGTTGTCTTTTACAGTTTCTCTTGGGGGTTTACTGGCTTAATCCTAACAGGCCGTATATTCTTATGTGTGTATTGTATTTTCAAGCATCGTTAAATTAAACCGAAACATGTTCGTTTTTATTTCGCCAGCTGAATGAATGGAGTGGGAAGTGGAGGGAATTGTTACTAAGAAAATCTTTTGTCTATGGTTTTCTTCTGACCTATTGGAATCTCTTTTTTAAATCCTCTTTTTAAGTTGCTCTGATTCATCCGCTAAATTTCATTGAATAGCACACATCTAGCCGTTTAATTCAGCATAGTATGCTATACATGGACCCCACTCTAGAATTCTCGTTCCGAAGACCCTAATGAATGAGAACAGAGAGAATTAGACGGATCAACAATGGCTGTCAGGTGGAGAAATTATGAATGCAGTGGCCCTCTGATGATTTTGCAGAAACAGTGCAGGTGAGACCGTCAGAGACCTGCATCAATCTGCTACTCACACACCGGATTTTAACTTTTGCATTCATCGCATCGAGAAATTTTTAATTGTAACGGAAATATGGGTGGTACACAATTTATTTTTATGTAAGTGATAGAAAATTTTATTTTTTAAGTTATTAACTTTTTAACACACATAACATACTATTTGTATAATGACAAATGGTGTATTGCCTCATGTGCCGATCATACTGAAAAATCTCTTTATAACTTCCCTTGCGGTGAGAGACACGAGGACCAAGGGTGGCCATTTTGGTTTTCCCAAGTTTTACAAAATCCATCATGAAATCTATTTTCGTGAAATTTTTGCTACATCATCAGTTTCTTACGCATCTTATGTGACTCAGTAAACTGTAAGACCACTTTCAAATAACTTAAAACATTTTTTACGACGTTCCGCAAAAAGATTTTGCAAAAATTAAGAAACTATAATTTGTTTTTCTTCACAAAAACTGCGAATAACTCACGATTTTTTATCGGTTTTGCGTGCACATGTAAATATTGGCAGTAATAAAAGAAGGAAATAAAAGTTAATGCTTTTTGTTTACGTGCTCACGTGAGGACCTCTAAGTAGGAAGGGAAAGAAAATAAACTTGGCACGTGTTCGCTCGCGCATCTCTTCATCTTCTTCCCCTCTCTCCGTCTCTGTATCTCTCTTGCGCGATTGTCATGGACTCTCCACCAGCGAAGAGCTGGAGCATCCACAGCCGACCCGAAATCATCGCAAAGTACAAGATCCTGGAGCGGGTCGGATCCGGAGCCTACTCCGATGTGTACCGAGCCATCCGGCTCTCCGACAACCTCACCGTCGCGCTCAAGGAGGTCCACGACTACCAGTCGGCGTTCCGAGAAATCGAGGCCCTCCAGGCCCTCCACAGCTGTGCCAACGTCGTCATTTTGTACGAGTACTTTTGGCGCGAGGACGAGGACGCCGTGCTGGTCCTGGAGTTCTTGACGACTGACCTCGCCACTGTCATCAGAAGCGCCAAGAAACGAGAGGGCGGGATTGAGTGCGGCGAGGTCAAGCGGTGGATGCTGCAAATCCTATCGGGGGTCGACGCGTGTCATCGGAATATGGTCGTCCACCGCGATTTGAAGCCCTGTAATTTGTTGATTGGGGAAGATGGAGTTCTGAAGCTGGCTGATTTTGGTCAGGTAATTTCAAATTTTTTGGTTGAATTTTGTTTGTTTCAGCAGACGATTGGGAAATTTTGGGTTAAAAATTAGAAATTAGATATGCAGTGGATTAGATTGTGTATGAGATGCTTTGGATTATCAGATTATAATGTGTAATTGTTAATTTATATATTTCGATTGAAAGATTGAACTTTTACTATAATTTTAACAGGGTTGAAGAGAGGATCAAAATGTTTTTGATGGAGTTTAACTGACCTTGGATTAGAGGATTATTTGATGAATGAAATGAATACACAGAGTTTGATTTGCTTGGATGTTTGTATCGAAAATTTTCGTGTTAGAACGATTACAGAGCGAGCGAGCATTAGTTGAATGTTAATTTTAGGGAAGCCTGTCACTTTAATCTTTTGTAGTTTAAGAAATGTTTGGTGTCAATTGTTCAACATGCCACTGGCTGCAGAAGACTTGCATCTTTTATTTGTATTGAGAAAATTCATATTTCCAACGTTGCAACCGAAAAAATGTTTGCATTTCCTATTCGGACCTTCTTCTATTTAATGTCTACAACATTGAACTCTTTGTGTTATGTGTCTTGATCTTTAGGCAAGGATACTCTTGGAGCCTGGATATGTTCCTGATGACGAAAACCCACAACTGTTTGAACGAAGCGCTCCTAGTCAGAGTACCTTTCAGCCACCTGAAGTGATTCCCGAAACAGAAGAGTCATGTGAGGAAGGGTACAGAGCTCAAGAACAGGGAACTATGAGCAAAGAGGAATATTTTCGGGTGTTAGATGAGGTCAAGGCGAAAGGTTTGGATAAAGATACAAACGTTCCTGATGGAGATACATCTTGTCTAGCAACATGTACAGCAAGTGACGTAGACGATGATCTTTTCAGGGGTTCCTATTCTTATGAGGCAGAGGGTGGAGATGATAGAAATGGAGCTCTGACATCCTGTGTTGGGACTCGATGGTTCAGAGCGCCAGAACTGCTCTACGGATCCATAGACTATGGTTTAGAGATAGATCTATGGTCGTTGGGTTGCATTTTTGCTGAGCTTTTGATGCTGGAGCCACTTTTTCCTGGAACTGCTGATATTGATCAGCTTGGCAGAATCATCAGTGTTCTGGGCAACTTAACTGAGGAGGTGTGGCCTGGGTGTCTTAAACTTCCTGATTACAGGATAATATCGTTCAATAAAGTAGAAAATCCAGTCGGCATAGAGGCCTGCCTGACCAACCGTTCCCCTGCTGAAGTCTCTCTAGTGAAGAAACTCATTTGTTTCGACCCAGCTAAGAGAGCTACGGCTATGGAGCTGCTGCAGGAGAAGTATTTCAACGAAGAGCCTCTTCCAGTTCCTCTATCCGAGCTGCACGTCCCCCAAACCAAAGATATGGGTTCCGATTCTCCCGGTGACTGGCCTGATTACGAAGATATGGGTTCCGACTCTGATTTTGACGACTTCCGCCCTGTAAATACTACCTCAACTGGCTCTCACATTCAGTCCTTCTGAGTTCAAGGGGTACGGTGATATCGATTCTTATGTTATTTATTGCGTAAAATATTTCGGGGGATCAAATTTTAAGGTACATGTATATCTACCGATTTCAGCCATGTTGGAGTGGTTCTAAAAGGGACCAGGGATTTTACCACAGAATTTTGTATCTTTTCATTCTTATTAGGATGATTGTTAATGTTACTTATGAGCATAAACAGCATTACTTGGGATTTGTTGTGGATTACTGTTTCTGACCCTTGGATTTAAACCAAAGGCTCAGATTTTATGAAATAAATCCACAGTTTTACGTGAAGAATTCCTTCTACGCTCCCTTTTAATCAGATGTTAAGAAACCTTGCAAGAATTTATAAAGAGTTGGGTTACTCCCCCCCCACCAACGCCAATTGATTTCAGATGAAATCTCAACTTTCTTCAATTTTCTTTGTAGGTGTGAAAAGGACGAGCCGGACGGGCACACTACCCAACATGTTTACTTGTCGGGAATAGAAATTGAAATCATTCTGATTCTTTATTTCATCGCATTTACTACAACATAGGTTAAAATCATTTTGATTCCCGACTTCCCCTGTATAACCCCCTTGTTGGTCTCATTTCCAATCATTTTAGTGTTCCTCGATTTATGACTTTCCCCGTTCCAAGTAAACTCGACAATGTTCTTAAGAATTAGGACATGCCCACAGAGGTTGCACTAGAAAGGAAGATGGTGCCTACTAGAAAACAAAATTCAGACTATACGTACGGGAAAACGGTAGGAAAATATAACCATACTTTTGCTTTCTTCCTTTAAGTAAAAGAACTATCTTCTCCACAGTAAAGTTCGCAAAACTAGTTCCGAAAAGGTTTATTGTTCCATTCAACAAATAAACAAAAGTACAAGTTCATATAGGAGAAACAAAATAATGGAACAAAAACTTAAGATCCATAGCCGGCTTACCGCACTGGCTGCTGATTGTAGTGATTCTTCTCTTTTTTCTTTGAGGCAGCTAGCCTAGCGTTCCTGGCAGCAGCTTCACTTGCAGCAGCTCGAGCGGCTGCATCCATTTCTTTGCTTGATTTCTTCTTCTTCATGGATGCCACTTTCTTTAGCCGCTCTTTAACATCACCAGTAGATGCATCTTCTTCCTTATCCCTCCCAGTGTTTTCATCAGCTGCCGCACTTCCACCATTTGTGCCATCGGGCTGGTCTTGAGATTCTTTTGGCTCCTTCGATGACTTGTCCTTCTTTTTCTTCTTTTTTGCACTTTTGCTCTCGCCAATGGCATTCTCCTTCTTGTCCACATCGCCATTTTGATTCTCTACTTTCTTCTCTTGGGTAACACCTGCACGCAAAGGTAGGGCCAAATAAGGCTTGTGTAAGAAATAAAAAAAATTGAATTGATCAAATATGATAGAAAGCTGCAAAAGTAGAAGGATCATGATTCCATGAAAGAGATCAAATTTGATGAAACCCCTAATAAAGGAATTTTAGACAGAGAGACCGAAAGTTAGTTTTACTCCATGAAAACTTGAGCACTTTTAGCGTTAAGTATTTAAGCTTCTGGAAACTGATACTCATTTTGCATCGATGCTATGTAAACAATCATACGACAGATAAGCAGTTACAAAACGATAACTGGCATACAGAAACTTGTTCATATAAACTATATTACCACTGGAATCATCTTGGCCACTAGTCTCGGTGTTGGTAGGGTATCCTAGCTCGGCAAGAACTGCTTCAAGTTCTTCAAGCCCCTTCTTCTTCAGTTCCTTCTTAGAAAGCTGCCTTTCTGTATCCTTGGGGGCTGGAGAAGGTTCAGGGAGCTTCTTAACTGGTTCAGTTTCCACTGGGGCTTCAAGTTCATTTTCATGTTCCTCATCAACATCATCAACTTCATCACCACCTTCCTCCTCACTTTCACTTTCCTGGAAATCGGGCTAAATATAAGAATTCCACAATATAACCAGAGGAATAGTACCGACTCATATGATTTTGGAGATTGAAAAGGAAAAAAAAATGACAACTTCGTTGTAAGAAAGATGAAGTTGACTTTCAAAGAAGACAATAATTGTTACAGCTGAATGGAAAAGCATAAGTACCCTTAAATACACACACACACACACACAACATAAAAACACGTTTTGGATGTTGTTCAGACATAAAAGAAATACTTTTCAATTATCAGCAAAGTTTTGGCAATATGCATTTCAAATACCGATCTACTTTACACCAGGTTTATACATTTGATAGTAAGGATGCATAGTAGGCATGAAATGGCATTGTAGTTCATTTTTTCAAAGACCAAAGACTGATTGTCCAAAATCCACCAAACACAAACAGATCAGGGCCTTTCGAATCACAGCCATCTGGTCGGTTCCGTCCACCAAAAACAAATCAGTAATCAAGACCAAGTTTTTTTTTTTTTGGAAACCTGGGTTATACACTGTTTCCACAATGAAACTGCCTAAGCTCCTTACAAGGCAATGACTTAGTCTCATAATTATCAGAACACCAATTGATTCTCTAACGTATGCACCAAAAAATACCATGATGAAAACAACAAAAGAAACAAATTTTATAGGGTCCACACTAAAGAACGAGAACCATTTCAACGAAACACATATCCACGTGTGGATATGGTTTTTGTCTCGTGACAGCAACGGGAAGAAAACTATCAGTTCGTCAGCCACTCCTAATACAATATAGCAATTTCCAGGCGTTTAAAGGACACAGATCATGGATAATCCATGGTTACCGACAAATGGGATACAGCAACTTCCTAACGGAACAATAAATTCAACTCCACACGTGAAGGTGGCTAAAAGACAAATCAACTTTCTCCGCGAAAGCCACAGCAAACCATGTCATAACATCAAAGATGCGGTGACTTATCGTCTGCAGGCAAAGCAGAGTACATTTTAACCATTACATAAAATGCAGTATTGATCGGGATTCAAAAGATCTCATTCTCTATAAAACGTGGGGTGACTTAACACGTGTAGCCACACAGAGTTGATTTTCAGCCTGCACGTGTAGGAGAAACTAGTAGATTTTAACCCTTTACAGAGAATGCAGTAATTACTACTGTTAAACGATCCGCATCCACTACAGTTAAATAAATGATTGACAGAACGATCCAAATTAGACAAGGATTCCGCAAAATCCACGGATATAAACATTCAATAAATTCCATAACTCCTGCCAAATCTTATCACCTAAAACCCTTCACTAACCATCATCTCATTCAATCCAAAAGTATATAAGAACTACCAAATCTAATTGCTTGAACGAAAATTGGTGATATCACAAGCAAACCACAGGGTTCCTATCACTTATTTCCTCATCAATTAATACAAACAAACAAATATCACCTCCTTCTACAGTTTTTACTGCATCATGAGCGGAATCCGATCATATTTGAAAACAGCAAGAGATATATCCAAACTAATCCGCATTTCTACACACACAGACATACACATATGCAATAAATTTTCCAAATTTAGCACTATCCAAAAACAAGATCACGAAAAACAAAAACAAAAAGCTCAAAGAATATACCAATTCGCCGGCCTCCGCATGCTCAGCTTCCAGCTCGCTTTCCTTCGCCGCCTTCGAATCCTCACCGGCCCAACCCATTTCCGGCGGAGCTGTAGTTGCATAGTAGTCGTCATCGTCCTCGTCATCGACATCGGCCCACGACTTTGCGACAAGGGGCGCCGGTGCCCAAAAGACCTCCTTCTCCGCCTCCCCAGAATCCTGAGCTGCGCCGCCGCCTTTCGAGCTTTTGGACGAGCTCTTGTCCCCCTTCTTCTTCTTCTTCAAGCTCCCAAGCGCCGCAAAAACATTGGTGCTGTTCAGGACCACCGAGTCGTCCTTCCTGCTCGCGCCTCCCGCCATTTCTCACCCCCTCCGCAAAGTCCAGACGGCAGAGTTATCCGCGTCGCCAAACGGCGGGCTTTATGTGAATTACGGTTTTGGTCACGGAGCTCAGGCGGGTTGTGTAGGGCAAAATCGGAAATGATGGAGGGAAATGGATTTAGGGTTTTGACAGGGATTTTGGATTCGCAGATTGGTGCTTTGAGGTTGGTGAGGATCTGAGAGAGGGAAGAGCACGAAACGGCGCGTTTCGGTGAGCTCGGCTGATGCGTGAAAGAGTCGGAGGATTTTCAACCCGAACGGGCAGAGGGCGTGTGAATCTGTGAGGGGTTTTATATACGAATCTCGTACTGGGGTGTGAGTGAATCCTAGCCGTTGGATGGGCATTACGATGGAGATTTTGATGTGCGGTGGAGATGGATGGTTCGGCATGGGGCCGATTGGCTTGGACTTTTTGCAAGGAAGGTTTTTTTCCGTGTGGGTGAGGGAGCGGTCAGGATAAGAGAGGCATCTGGCTTCCATGCATATGATTTGGACCCACTTTTCCCATCGGGCTGGTCAATCGTATCCAGCGAGCCGGCACCGTTTTCGCCGATCATGGCGGCGAGGGCATGTCGCCGTAGGAAGCTCTTCCGGCGGTCGCCGCCATTGCCGTTGTCGCGGCTGGTAAAATTAACAGATTTTTTAACGGTTATATAATTGCAACTTAAAAGTAAGTTTATATTGAAACGTTTTAACAATAATGTATGAAGTTGTAATTACACGTAAAGTTGATGGGATAAATTGATTAAGGTGAGCTCAAATAATGAAGTTCCGGGATAAATCACGTGTACTTATGTGATATGTGAGACTCTCAAATGACATTATCAATTTCTTCGTTGATAGAGCTCACAAGTTCGTCCCACAAACTATATTCGTGGTGTGTGAGACGCTCACATAACGATATTACTCAAGAAAAACATCAAGCAGTTGTGACAAATTGGGAATATAATTAGAAAAGATGGAGACCAACATGGAGACCAAAATAAATTAAAATTATGGAATCAAGAGGAAGAAGGAGCAAGAGGAGTGGGGTTGTCGAACGTCGTCCCAACATGTTGAATAACAAAGCCGTAGATCTTCCTCTTCAGCCCATCAACCTTCTCATTCAGCTCATTCCTTTTCGAGACGACTCCATCCAGCCACTCATTCACTCGCTTCAACTGCGATAGAACAGCTGCAATGGAGCCACAGTCGATAGGCAATTTACCGCCATTTGCAGCGCACTCTCCAAACACTCGGAAACCGGCATCCAGAGCCTTCTCGACAAACTGCAGAAACCACATTTGCATCTCGGATTGCAGACTTACTGCGAGCTCGACTGTCTGCTTCATTCCATGACCCCTTGTCCATGTTCCAACGCCAGCAGTGGACTGCGGTGAAGAAGGGGAAATCTTGAGATGGGATTTGGCAGGTGTGTATGGTCGTTTTGACAGACTTTTCTGCAAAGCCGACGGAGTTTCGTTGTCTTGGGCGGTAAGGAGAGAGACGATGCTGAGATCAGTAGCTAAGGCAGCTTCGACCCAAAGTGAAACAGGTTTCGATTGCTCAGTGGGAATTTGATCATTGTAAGATGTATCTGAATTGCGGTTACTAGCAATTGATTCAGTAAGTGTGGTTGATTTAACAACTTCATCATAGATCGAAAAGAAGCGGTCAATGGCAGGTAGAGGGCTCCCAACCTTGGATGTAGAAGCGAGTTCTGCAAACATGCTGCGACAGAAAAAGGATAGTGAAATTCAACGACAGCGGCAGAACAATTCCTTAAACGAATTTAAGGCCATAAGAACAGAATGATAAAACTACCTTAATTTCCTCACTAGAGACTCAGTAGCAATGGCCTCCTCCAGAGCTTCAGCTGCGGCTGCAGAAGCTAGAACTTTCCTCTGCAAAGCTTCCTGCAATTCGATACGGTTTAGAACTTAGTCCATATTGATCAAACTATTTGGGTAACGCAATTTGCATCGAAAATAAAGCTCGCCCAAGTTGGCATCGAATGCCAAAGATTATACCTTTCCAAGCCTTGCAAGGTCTGAAGAGACTGCATCAAGTGAGACACTTCCATCAATCCATTTTTTTTCATGAACAGTGATGCCCGGAGCTGCTGCACAGCTGGGTTTCTGTTGGACCACCAAATCTTTCAGTGATCCTGATTTCGTTTTCTCATTGCTGGAAGAATCATCACCACCGTTCGGACTTCCAGCTTTTGCATCGCTTAATCGTCGCGCAAGGGCAGCCTGCGAAGACAGAATTCAGAATACAGAAACAGAATATGCAGAGCAGTAAGTAATTCAAATTTTTTAATCCAGATACACAGAGGGAAAAACTACCTGAGTCCTTATAAATGACTGCAAATCTGGTTTTTTCTTCGCCGCAGGCTTCTCTTTCTGCTCCACCGCCGGCGACTCATCCCAGCCCTTTCGATTACCCTTTCCAGACCCAATGAGGGCTTCCGAAACCTTCGAAATCCCTGCAACTATACCTGCCATCTTCTTCTTGGCAGCAGAGTCCTTCACTCCTCCGGACAACCGCCTCCCGGGAGAAAGCGAAGCCCTCCGGGCATTTGGCGAAGGCTGCCTCCGCTGCCCAACCGGGGACGGCTGTCGGTACCTTGACGGCACTATAATCGCCGCCTCTTTCGACGCCTTCCGATCTTCTTCCTTCGCCACCATTAAGCTTGGAACCACGCATTTCGAGGGGGCTGGAGATCCCGATCTCTTTCCTTTTCCTGCCAGCGATGGATCTCTCTCGGCCGATGCAGGGTTCTTCTTCCCGACAGAAACAGACCTCTTTGCACCTGCCGGAGACGAAAACCTGGAAGCCGGCCGATCTGAGATCTTCTTAGCCTCATCCGAAAGTGAATTTGAATTCAAATTCTCTCCCGTATTGACATTGTCTCGAGGAGCAAGAGGCTGCCTTGATGGTCGTGCCTTCTCAATCTTGGCTTCTTTGTTATCATTCCTCACAACCTGCTCCTGCTGCTTATTGGACAGGTAAATCGCCATGAAATCCGCGGACTGGTCGGAATCCGACACAGGCTGGATCACGAACTCGCGCTTTGAGGTAGACACTCTGGCCACAAGGGGCTCTGGGGTACCAAGAAAGGGGTGGCGGCCTGCGATGGGGCGGATACCGAGGACGAGTGGGATGGGGGAGTCAAAATTGAAGCGGTCGACGTAGGCAAACTGGCCGAGCTGGAGGCGGTTTGTGAGGATGAGGTCGGTGTCGCGATCGGAGAGGGAGACGTAGGTGGAGTTGAGGGAGTCGGAGAGCTGGACGTAGAAGCCCTGGTTGGACGAGAGGTCGGAGCCGGCGAGGGCGGGGACTATGCCAATGACTTGGAGGAGGGCAGAGCGGTGGTCGCCGGTGACTTTGGTGGCGGAGTTCATTGACTGGAGGAGCTTCAGGAGGATTCCTGGAGTGAGCGACGCCATTGTTGTGCGTCTAAGAGAGACGGAGAGAGAAGGTGGAGGGTTGAATCTGTGGAGACGTAGTACTCTCTACTCGGTATTTGCTAAGGAAAAGGGTGGGCCCGGAGATTATTTGGCCGTTACGAAATTTCAAATTCAAATTCCCGCTAACCGTTTGTTTATTAGAACCATAATTGTTTGAATTTCGAAGCTTGTGCTGCGTACCGTAACGTTATCCCCTATCTAATTCTGGAAAGAAACATACCTACATTCTCGGTAAGCTACCGTGACATTCTGAGCCAATAGCACATTGTAATGTGAAAAATTAAAACACACAGCACAATATTATTGGTTCCGGATGATACATCGAATGCCATTGCTAAGTCCTTTCCTAGTGCTTGGGCAGCCGAATCACGGGTATTCTGAAGTCCAAGGTTTCATTAGTGCATAGATTTCTTGATGTGGGATAAGATTACCATGCACTACAAATCGCTCGAGCTCCCTAATTCAGAGACTGCATTTCCAGGGCCAAGAAGCAAGTGCTGCAATGTTTATGTCCTTCTGCAACAAAAACTGCATACAAGATTCATCCCAGCAGCGTCGCACATCCGCTTTAAGGTGTGGAAAAATCTTCCCAACAATTGTATACAATGGATCTCTCAAACAAGTGACCATTACGACTAGCAAGTGAGAAGTATTGCGCGAGTGCTAACAGCTAAGTTTCTAATGAACTCATTCCCGTTCGTTATCTTGACCATTGTCAAAACTAGATTGTGTACCAGTTCCCATATCTAGAATACAATCAAATCCAAGAAATATTGTCAAAATTACTTTACACTCATATCTAGAATACAATCAAATCCAAGAAATATTGTCAAAATTACTTTACACTTTCCGTCGCAATTCATATGTACTATATGCCAATTTTTGAACATCAAATGATAGAAAATACAAGATGAATACCGGATGTCTATAAAGGAAAGCATAGCTCTGTTACTTTGCTTTGTATATTTTTTTTTTTTTATTATCCTTATGCCGCAAAAGATACGAAAAATATAAGAAATAGAATAAGTACAAAGAATATCTTCATCATTAGCCATCGGTTGGATGATATACTGTTAAGGTACCTGGCCAGTTGCCCTTGCGCTCCTTCCACGTTGGACAGCGTCTCGTCCATGCTCTCGTCAATCCTGACAACCACACGAGTGAGCAAGGATGAGCCCCATGCATTGGTATTTTAAGCATTTAAACAAACATTTATTCTACAAGTTTGTGTTTTCTTTCAGTGAAGACTTCTGAATGCACACATGTACTTTCTAGCATGACTGCCAAACAACAAACCTGATTGCAAGCTCTCCTTGCTGCGAAACCATGGTTGCCAATTGGGTAAATATGTTACCCAGCTCGTGAATAGTTGACTCCACGTTCTGAAGAGCCTCAGAGCGGCTATGCATATAGGTGTCTTGTTGTTCTACTACCTGCTGCTGCTGCTGCTGCTGCAATAATGGTCGAGATTCCTTATCTGTCTGCTTCCTGAAAAAAAAAATACATACCAATGCCGATGACATATCAAACTGAAAACATGGATCTATGATATACATTTCACTACTTCCACATGTAGCATTAGGAGATGGTGACACTATTCCTCTCCATGTTCCACAATGAAAGGCAATAATTAAAAGGTTACATGCAAGCGCGCTGTCTAGCGAGTCACTGTTAACAGTGGGATGAACATAAGAGAAGTCATAAACAAAAGAATAGGCATGGACTTCTACCGTTCTATGCAACAACAAGTTTAGAATGGTGCTTTCATCTGATTACTTGAGAATTCAGTTTAAAATGAGAAACAAATTGACATATGGGAACCCGAAA